GGAGCAACGCGCGCGGAACAGACGGGCCCAGCACCGGCCGTGGTTTCAGAGCTGTTTATTGGTACAAAAGGGCAGTGTCGCGTACAAGGCGGAGCGCGGGCCGCGCACACAAACACACAGACAGGGCTCCCCGGCAGCGCGCCGGGAGAGCCGGATCCCCTGGGTCAGGTGTGCCCTTGGTTTCAGCGCAGGTCGCAGGAACAGGAAGCGGGTTTACAGGAAAAAAGAAAAAATCCCCATGAAAACGCCCACCAGGCTATAGCTGATATTCCCAACTACGGCGCTTCCAGAAGCAAAGTGTCACGTAGATGCTTTCCCTGAGGGAACCAGTGAGTTGCCCCAGTCCAGCTTCAGGAACAAGGACTGGAGTGGGATGAGGAAGGCTGCAGGGAACTGCACACTGTAAAGGGCCTGCTGCTCCTTTCCCACAGGACAGCAGTTCGGCATTGGAGGAAATGCTGATCTGGTGCTTTTAAGCAATCTTTTCGAAAAGTGATGTTCCCTGGTGGAGTTCAGTGAAAGTCAGAGTTCACTATAGCAAGGACTCGAGAGAAAACCCGTTCCTTACACCCAGTTATTTCAGTAACATAATTCTGATAATTAGAATACTAATGACCACTTTACTAAGTACCATTAATAAAAACTGTTGTTTTGGTAGTACAGAAGAAAGTCCTCTGAGTAGCAGAGCTGAGTATTTACACCAGCAGACATATGTATATTGAACGCCCACACGTACAACTGCAAAGTGCAGCCCTTGAGAAGGTGGGGCTCGTTCAGGAGCTATCCCCAGAAGAGTAGCTGCACAGGCCGCAGGCATCTCCCTCAGGAGCTCGCTCTGCAGGTGCACAGGTACCTTTTTTTTTTTTTTTCCCCCTCTCCTCTCTCCTCCAGTTTACTTCATACAAACAGTGTCAACTGCTAAAAAGCATCACTAATACATTGGTTCTCAGTTTGAAACATACTAGTTCAAAAAGTCTAAAAAAAATCTAAAGTGCTTAAGGCAATTCTTCATATCCCATTATCCCACTAAAATAATGGGACTAGCTGTTAGCAGCAAAAGATTGACATCTGTGCAAACTAATATATAATAAATTCATCCTTTAAGTCACACATTAAGTCTACCTAGGATATTGGTTAAATGAAACCTTGGGAATCAAATAACAGTACGAAATACTTCAAGCTTCTTTCAAACTATACTACTATAACAGTGTTTAAAAAAATTACACTTTGTGTATAATCAGGTTTACCTTGCAAGTTTCACTACATCTTGCTAAAACAAGCTGGTAATTTAAATTCTCTTACATCATGTTGGAGTTCACTCACAGTTATTCATCTACAGATAACAGTATTTGTGATACACAGATTCGGATGCTGTTCATTTAATAACCATGTCACCTTCCCATACCTTTACATTTCAAGGCTGACAATACTTAATTGACGAAGGAGGGTGCACCTCAACTGGTAATTGTTTTTACACTTTCCTCTGAAAAGAAAAAAAAAAATTAACAACTAGCTTTGTTCATAATGCAATTTTTAGTGAAGTTTGACATAAGAAATGAACACTAAGGGCTCAACCTTACTGCCAAACTCAAAATTTCTCAAGAACAAAACTTTCTGAAACAAGTACTGAAATTAAGACTCAAATTTACTTTTCCACTGGGTATCACTGCCAGTTTATTACAAGCAAGTTCTCTTCTTAAGAAGTTTTGATAGACAAAAAGGACCCACTGATGTTAACAAGCATTAACATCAATGAACGGTCATGTTTTTAAGGATGAAAAGATTTACAGAAAAAAGAATACTTTGGCCCTGTAGAAAAGAAGCTGGTGCACTAGACACTAGCAGTATGAATTTGAAACAGGTGAGTGAAATCTTCAATAACGAAACACCATTAATCCAAATATACATCTAAAAAATTCTAGTGTTCTTGATTAGAGGAAAACAGACTTGAACAGTAGATAAAACACGTAATTCTAACTGAAAAGGTTTAAGACCTTCCACAAAGAATAACATGCTATCTTTTGTCTTTTTTAGCTTTCCCACTAATTATTTGACTATTATTACTAACAAGCTTCCATTAAGAATTGAGATGAAAAAACACTCATGCTCCATTTCATTTGATTCAAAAAAACAGTTCCAAGAGCAAATGTGATGTTAGTTTGTAAAGCACTTCCTTGGCTTTAGACTTTCCACTTGCCCTAAGTAGAAAGTCCTGTAAAAGCCAGTCTCAGAAGTCCATGCATATGGTACAAGCTAGTATGTTAAGAGTGGAATGCTATAGATAAGCTCCATTTTCTAGATGAATAAATCATACAATTTTGGGTCGTCTTTGGTTGTCCAGAAAGTACCAGTTGTTGGGCTAGCCAGAACATGGATTGCTCCAGTGTCTCCTGGGGCCAAGATCACATCCGTCACCACCAGGAGCTCAGATGCCACCTCTGCTCAGGACCAGCTGTGATATTGAGAGCTCTTTGAGAAGTCTTAGCTAGCCTTGGAGCTGCTCCAGTAAAAGCCAGAAGATGCTTTAGCAAGAGCTTCCCCTCCTTCCTAGAGGGTTGCATTCACATGGCACGCTCACCTCTGCTCCCTATCTCAGCTGCAATGCTGTTATGCTACAGGCAGACAAGGACTGGTGGCTTAGCTTGTCCTTCCCATCTGAAATGGTAGGTAGAGTACAAACTGCCAATTATCAAAGTCCAGTTACAACACACTCAAAAAACTAGAATGTCAGAAATGGCCCAAAACTAAGGATATTTTAGGAACCATGCTGTGGCTTTAAAAGTCTTGATTTTTGCTTCTCAATCTCATATCTACAGTACTACTTAGCTCAACAGCTGGCTATTATAAGCCTCTGTGGATGATAAAAGTGTTTAAGTGCCTTTACATTTTCACATTTTCTATAAATTCTGATAAACGTGAGCTGTACTCACTCTTCAAATACAATACTGAAGTGATTTATGGGAAACAATCTTTATCAGCACAGATTGGTCAGATTGTTGATTCATGGCTTGCCTACAACCTCTTACATGAATTAATGTATTCTTCTGAAATGTGTTTGTCATATCAAGTTCTATGTGGAAGCTCAGTAACAATAAAAAACTGTCAGGTGTTGCATGTTAGGACAGCTAAGAAAATAGCATTTGTCATATTCCTCATAGAAAAATAAAATTTATAACACAATATTCCAAGTCCATAACAAAATACAAGTGCAGTATTAGAAAAGTACATAGCTACAGATCTTGATTTCCCCATCTGTTTTCCAAATACATAACAGTATTTTTCTGTTTGGCTCCATGGATTCACAGCAAGTTCTTCCTAACACTTTAGTCAAAAACATTCGCACTAGTAGTACCCAGGCCTTAAAACAGCAGTGGGTAGCAAAGCCAGGTTAATCCAAGCCTCACGAGCTTCTGTGAGTAGCAACTATACAGAACAAACAATCAGCAATAGAACTGTTTAAATGGACAGGTTATTGAGTAACATTGTTTAGACTGCCAACTGAACCACTCAATCCATTTTCACTTTTCTGAAGCGTTTTCACAGCACTTGGCACCTGCAGCCCAGTACTCAATATAAGTCCACCACACCAGACCTAGGGAAGGGGAAAAAAGAGAAAAAGGTCAATAAAGAAGTGAAATTCAGGATATTTATACCTCTTTTCCTGCCCCTATACAGTAGTATTAACACAAAACCTGTCCTGCAACCACATTTGTTCTCTTGCTTTCCAGTCACAGCATTTTGCATAGAATTCTAGCCATGCTGAAGCTCATCTTAAGATCATTAGGCCCAAAATGCTTCAACATAAGTTTATGTCTATTCTTGCAACTATCTCTAAGAGCTAACACAATAAGACTTGCTTCTTCTCCAAGAACTGATTTACTAGTATCAACTACTCAGACTGATATTTAAAAGCAAAACTCATGTGCTAGAAAGCCAGTACTTAGTTCTGGTATGAACTGATGGAACTGTGACAATATAAGTATGGTATGAAAAATTAAGATGAGATGCTTCAGGTACACAGATGCAAGTGATCTCTATTCTACAACTGACAAACTAAAAAGAATGCATCTCCTTATTTATGAATATGCTCGAATGGGAGCTGTATTATTTTGTTATTTTAAAGTGTTCATGCTAAAACAAGCAGTGTCTGTAAGAGAATGCTACCATATTTACATTAAATAATTAAGTAACAAGCTACATTCTGCATAAGATGCAGGCAGCAAGCTGAACTGTTTCCCTGAATGCCTGGGGAACAGAGTCTGCCTTTGTGTTACATACATTTAAATACCAGATAGATGGCTAAGACATGTTCCAACTGCTCTAAAGCTAATCTGTTCTGAGTACTTTGATGGAAAAAAAAATAGAGTTAATTAAGTCCAATTGTTTAGTGGCTTTCAAATAAATAGCTACTAAAATCGAGACACACTGACAGTGTATCTAGCCAATACCATAAATGGAAATACATTTGTGATATCAAAAATGCAAGGTGTTTGGATGTCAGATGAGAGAATATCTTGGCAAGTTACTTCTTTCCATTCCTCCTGCCTACCACAAAAACTGTCTCTATCACAGTTATAAACTATCATGCCATGCTTTTCATGGACTGAATTAAGATTACCAAAAAAAAAAAAAGGAAAAAAGAAAAGAAATTAAAGCTATTCAGTGCCTATGCAGCTGAGTTGTTAGCATGAACTAGCACGCTGGTCTCCTTCACATCAGTAAGTTCTCAGACCCAGAGCCTGGTAGCACAGCACAATTCACATTCTTGGTGCTACAGAACTAAGGCCTCTAACTTCAGTTACTTATCAATAAATTATATCAATAAAGAAAACACATAAAGAATTCTTTTCTCAAATTTTTGAATGGTTTGAGACTGTAGAATAGCAGCACATTTCCACTGCTTACAGCCTGAAAAAACAAGTTATGCAAATTAGTGAAATGTCTGGCAAGCAAAATCCCACAGAGCTTTTCAGCCTTGAAAGCTAGAACCTTCTTTGTTGGAGGGAAGAACCTGATCTAGCACCTGATCATGACGACAGCTCTGGCAGCTTTCAGCATCTTGGGCTTCTAGCTTCATCAGTTTGGATGAGTTACTGCAGCAGACTCATCAGCAACCAGCACATACAGTTAATTTAATCTAGAAGGACTTAATGATATTTTACTGACAGAAGAGACATCTAGGTGGGGAGCTCCCCCCGTTGAAGAGAATGGCTGTTAAAAGTACTATGTGAAGTCAAGAAGAAATAGTCAAGAAATGCATATATAGTTTTAATCAAACTGCATTCCCATTTTCCTCCTTTACTGAAACCTAATAACTGTATTTTGTAGAGAATTCAGTGCTATAAATTGGAAAAATTCAGATACTGACCATGAAGCCTGGTAGTAATGGTTGAGTAAATTTTGTTCTGAATGTATACAACAGTTGCTTTGAGTTTGCATTATAAAATGTGAGTTGACCTAAAAGAGGAGGAGAAGAAAAAAAAATTTACAAAAACCGGCCCAGCAAAAATATCCAAGATTGATCCCTCTCCAGGAGTAATTCTCTAGAACACATTAAGTACGGATCTTATCAAAGCCCACACTTTTGAAAACATTTCAGCTAGATGATTTATCACCTAAGTCTAGTGTCAATTCACACTACATGCAATATTACACAGAGTGCTCAGTCCCTTACTTTTGAAAGGGACTCTCAGTCAAGAAGTAATATTAATATACTTACACACTATTTATAGCCTAGTATTGCTTTAACTTGATAACTTTAGTCAGATAACTTTTTACTTAGATCTCATAAAGTCATAATTTACCTCCATCAAAGTCACAGTATACTCCTATTCTGTCTGGAACAGGTATATCTAAAGTCCTGGCTTTATTATTATGTTTTGCTGAAAATGTGGTTTGCAGCCAGTTGTTGATATGGATGCACCAGCTTGAATTAGTCTTTCCCAGCTGGTCAAATTTTCCCAGGTTTTTATATGCTACTCCCACGCTGTAGGATTTGCAGTCCTTCTGGGCTCTAACCTCCCAGTAATGCTGTCCACTTTCAATAGCAGTGTCTCCTACAAAAAAAAAAAAAATAATAATAATGCTGTAATTAGATACTTAAGTGCTCGCTTCCTTGATGGCACCAAAGGTCTGCTCAGTTTCATTTCAACTAGAGACTTATAAATACAAAAATATCTAAACAAAAGAAATAACTCAAGTGAATAAGATGATCTCATTGTAAAGTAGAATACAGAGACAGTATTTTGTCACATCCACACAAAAGTTGTACTTAATATGAACCCCCCTTCAATAGCACTGACTGTCAGACATTAAGAGCCTTTTTACAATGATCTTAAAAGCACGAACACATTTGCTGAGGAAGGATATTCTAGTGTTGCATAGGCATAAATACTTCTGTGCAGGACAGCATCAAGTTCACAGCCTCGAATGAACTTGAGTGTTCCTTCGGACTCCTACCCTAACTGCCCTTCCACAGCACTACACACCTACTAGAAGTGAGAAGTTCACCTTACCCAACACTGTGTATGATTCACCAGTAAAACGATCTCTGCTGCCCCTCATTAAGGACCTTGGACTAAAAGATGTCCTCTTTGGAGACGGTGTACCACTTCTAAGGAGAAAAGAACATCAAAAATTTGCATGCTATTATAGAAATGCAAACTAAAGAATTTTTTCCATGCAAGATTCAATTAAGTTGCAATAAACATATATTAAAAATATTGAAATAACAGCTATCAGCTGCACTTAACACCAAGCAGTAGTGAGCTAGTAAACACGCACAAAGAAAGCAGAGAAGGAAGAGGTAATAGCCAGGAAAGATGCTAGGCATTGTGGTGAAACAAGCCCAGAAGCAGTTAAGACACAAAAAAAGCAGAAAAAAAGGCAGATGCGTGGCATAGTCTGAATGTGTGTCTGTAGAAAACTTAGAAACTAGGGAGTTCAGGTGGCTTTTTCTGCCCAAGAATCAAGTAAGTATGACTCCACTACAAATGCTTGGTGCATAGGCACCCAGTAACTTCCAGTATCAGGAAATGAGGAAAACTCCAATTATGGGTTCAAGGTAGGTTTTTCAGCACATGTAGGACTTACATAAACAATGAATAAAGTCCCAGGGAAAAAAAAAAGTGCAAGCCAAATAGCAAAGAACTTCAAAAAGAGCAGTTACCAAATTTAAGTACCTAACTCCAGTCAAGAAAGGCTTACATCTTCTAATCATACTTTCAAAGACGTAAGGAATAGCAAAATAAATGAAGAAACACTTTGCCCTGGAAAACAGTCTAATAAGGAATCACTTGCCTCAGAGAACAATTTTAAATGACTGAATTTAAACATTTTATTTGACTTGGGTTATGGCCTCAAAAAGAACTACTAGCAATTTAAAATTAACATCCCTATAGGCTGACTGTAGTGAATGTTAAAAGCTTGGAGACAAGGAAACATCTCAGGTTTTTGTTCTTAAAAGCAAATTTTAACTTCCCAAGGATGTTTAAGCAGTCTACAGTTAAATTTCTTTCTTTCTGAACAATATGAAGCAAACGTCATGCTGAACTGCAGAGTCATTTTTAAATACTCTTTCCTTATAGCTTATCGTGTTTTAACCTTTGAAATGTTACTACAGTAAGAATGCTCTTTCTCCAACTCAACTTCTTTTAAATTTCATGGTATTATTATGATGTTACAATTAGAGATGGGCAAAGTTGTTAACTTAAATGTCCAGTACTGTATTTTAATTTGCTTCCTTTTAGATTCACTGAACATGGATTTGAAACTTTCTAGAATTATTTCCAAATAGTATTTCACGAACAGGCATTTTGAGCTTTTTGCTCAGTACCATTACATCCACAAAATAACATGGGGAAAAAAAAAAAAAAAAGCTGAGTGGCATAAAGCTTTCATGCCAAAGCATTCTAGAATCTCTGGTTCCAACTACACGACTAAGTTCTTTTAACACAGTTAAAGAATCCTACAACAAATCACTTTTCAAACTGCCAAAAATAGTTGTCTACCTTAACTTTCCTAATTTAGTATATACATTTGACAGTATTTATCAGAAGCCATGTTAAGTTTCTAAATTGCTTTTCAAGAGTTACATGAAAAGGGTGAGAGTACACTATGCAGTGTAGACCACATCAAATGCTGTATTAACAGGAGAAAAAAAAAATAGTAGTTTACTTACCAAAAGAAAAAGCAGCAAGGGATTGCATGGAAGAAAAACAGCAAAGCCAAGAATTAAAGCATAAATTAAGCGAGAACACACTCATGGCAGATTCTACCCTACTCTAAATGTGCCACTGCCATTCACTTTTATTTTATTTTATTTTTTTAATGGAAATGCAAAATAAACACTTTCTTTTAGATCAGCTAAGAATGAGTTAATGCAGAAAGCAGTCTGGCCATTTAGAGAAACACTAAAAAAAAAAAAAAGCAGTTGCTGTGCTACCTTTGACACAACATTAGGAAGACACAAACTGGTAGGTCTTCAACAACATTTTTTTTTGTTCAAATCATCTGCAAACGGCCATGAGTTGGCTTGCTCTACTCAAATCTAATAGCCTTTAACAGTTCAGACAGTGACATTTAGCATTAGGCATAAAAGTATGAAAAGTGTGTTTTTCAGTGATAAAGTCTCTTTCAAAAGAAAAAGGAAATACATTTCACAGAAATGAGTCAGTTTTGTGATAGTTTTCCATTACAGTGAATGTATTCATTTCTTCCAATATTCAGTGAAAAAATATTCTAGTCTCATCACTAGGATTGTCATCTACAACACTGCAGTTAGTCATAATCGTCTTACCCATTTCAGATAAGAGCATACATTTTAAGCAATATGAATTGTCTTTCAGAGAAGAAAGTAAAATAATAGATATTTAAAGTTATCTAGAAGCTTTATTCCAGTCTATGAAATCTGTTAAAGTTAGTTTAGTGTCTTGTTTTCACCAGCATCTTCCCAGGCTTTGAAAGTCACACACTTGATGTTTAACATACAAAATTACACACCTTTTCATCAAGCATGGACCAAGCTGCAAGTTTTCTCTCTAAGGTAAAATATTTGCATAGATACTCTTACAAGAAACAAAAGCCTTCTGCAAGAAATTAAGAACCTGTGGGTTCTAATTTGAGTTTTGTTCTACACCTTCTATATCAGTGATATTAGAGAAAAAAAGTGATTTTTAGAAAAAGTTATGAAAAAATATATTGTAAACAATTGCATAGTTAGAACAGTTAAACATTTTAACTGCTTTTACTGAATTGTACTGAAAATACAATTTCCTATTTTGAACAGCTGTAGTCAGTAACTCAGTTCAGCCTGTTTGAAAGTAAAACTCCAAGCTAGCTGATATTTCATCTCTCAAGATGCAACAAGATATCAATGGCAACAAGTATTTGAATCAAAAATAAATACAAAAACAATTTAAACCCATGGAAATACTCTTGACTGCATTTGTGAAAAATCTAGTGTGTCATTGTGTGCCGAACGTTCTAAGCCTCAAAGACTGATAAGTAACAGCCGTCTTTGTACTGGGACTTGAGTACAGTTTACTGCAAATAAGGTCCCTCGCTCTAAGAAATATCCTTCCAGGAGCACTGTTTTCTGCTCACTGAAAAAGAGACATATCCATGATTCCAAACTAAATTTCTAAAGTACTTGAGAAGTGCATATGTACTGCCTTAGTCACTGACAAAGGCTATTAGATTGCTTGATCTAAGGAGACATAGGAACAAAGGGAAAGCCCTGAAGATTGCAGCAAAACTAGAAGCTGTGTCCTAGGAACAGGAGGTACGTTATCACCTTTTACTGCTCTTCAGTACAGGATTGTGGCCACTGTCAGACAGAAATAAGCAGTTATTAAACAACGGTTCTATCAGATATAGTACATTATCCCCAGTCCAAAGATGCCTCTTAAGAATTTTCTACTGTGCCTCTTGACATTACATAGCAATAGGGAAAGTAACGCATACATAAATTATGCCACTCCACGCTGCCTGGAAAGGACAAACTGGAAACTTAAGAGCAAGCAAGTCATGCTCGGTCAACTAATCTGCCTTTGAGGAAAAAGTCTTCATTCTTTATTTCCTCGCCCCTGTAATGAACAGTTTCTCCAAAGCAATACTGAGTCAAACTTCCTTTAATGTTCCACTGTTCTGCCAGTCATATGAGTACCCAGAGAAGTGAAATTGTTTCAATTTCCCACTGTTCTCCCTTTCTTTAACTGCCAGGTAAGACATTCCAGACAATAAAAATCTTCACAAATCAAGTTATAATTCTTACCTGCCTTTATTCTCCTTTCCTTTTATTTTTTCTTGGCCTTTACCTCCAGTAGGATCCCATTCAACGTAAGTGTCTTCAACTTTCAAGTTCAGATGAGATGAAGTATTGTCCAAATTGAACACAAATGCTGGTAAAGAAAAGATATGAAACAGTAAAAACATTAAGTGTTGCCCTCTCTTGATGGGTATTTTTACAAAAAAAAAAAAAAAAAAAAAGCTGTGGAAAACTTGTAACCACAGCAACTATGCAGCTTCATAAAATTTCAGTTTACTAGTCCAATACTTAAAATCAAGGTAAAGAGCCTCTCGAAGCGCAACTATTTATCTTCAGCCTGTAGCTTATTAAATACAACCTTTAAACCAGTGCTTTTCTGCTACCTGTAGCCTATTTATAATTGTATGAATCTACAGCAATAAATGTATGAAATCTATGTATGAATCCAATCGCAATAAAACTACTTCCATACTGTACAGCCCTCATTCTCTTAAGTGTTTTTGACTAATAAAGATTTTTAAACATGAAGAATATGATATTGACAAGATATTCCATACGTGGACACTAACCTAACTGTGCAGCAGGCTGTAGATATTAAAACACTAGAGCATGCATGCAGCTAGCACTCTGTATTTACGTGCAGCCAAATCCATCATCTATGATGATGGATTGACTGAGTAATAAAACAATGCTCAGTCAATTAAAGACATTTACAGACTATTTTATAAAGTGTCCTAATATCAAATTTTACAGGCTGCTAGTGAAAAAAATTGTACTTTAGATTTGTGAATTTGGAGTTCAACAATAAGTCTGAAAAACATAAAGTACATGGACCAAGTATATATTTTTATGGGCCAATTATTAAAGAAGGTGAACTGGATCCAGTATTAAAGTGCACATACACAATGAAGTTAACATGGGCAGCATAACCTCATAGATTATCAAAATTATAATTGTTTCTAACATTGAAGAATGTAAGTGAATAGCAGGATCAAATTCTGTACACTATACACCAGTCTCTGCTGCTTAAGAGTATTAAAATAATTTTTAAATAGTTTTAGAAGTTTTTAGAATGCACATAAACTCATGCAGATTTCATACAGCTTTGTTTCTAATAAAGCCCTATATCCTAGAAACAGAATTCACGTTTTAATTATCTCATGCTTAGCAGTCACCATGCCCTTTTATCTTGTCACAATGAAAGCATGAGGAATATCAGCTCCATCATGATAACAGTTAAGCGGCTTTTACAAAACATCAGTTCTGCTTCAAGAGCAGCAAGCTTCACAGAATTTTTCATCTAGCCTGTTTACAACTGAATATCAGAAGCTACCAGTCTCGGATCAACTGATTTAACACAGTGGCTTAATAATCAGAGCAATGTGAGGCTGTTTATCTTTTAGATGCTGATCATGAGCAGAATCTATAGCTCATGTTAAAAAATACTTCTCAGCATCTTCTATTTACAGAAGGCCATTACCTGTCACATGCTAAGTACCAATCACAAACCAGCTACACCAACTGCTTAAATGCTATAAGCATCCAACTGGCACTCAGTCACAAAGTTAATCTCCTCTTGCTATATTCTCAGCATGATCTAGTCTTAGATAATCTCACATGCACAGTCCAAAACGATGTACATAAGGCACCCTTGGAGAAAATTACATCACTGCCTCTGTTTTAGCATCCGAATGCTAGAAGAACCTCCCATTTATAAACCTTTATAGCAATATCCCTCCTAATCCTTTAGGAAAATGGTTGCCCAACCACTGCTGAAATACAGCCATTAATATACAAGCTCGTAGCTGAAGGCAGGACTAAATCTACACACAAGATTCAGTACATGTCAGTTTACAGCCTTTCTGATTTTACCTTTGGTCTCCAGAGTCACTGGATCAGAGTATTCCCCTGCCACAGCCTTGTTGCAAGCTTGTACTCTAAAGTTCATATACTTTGTATCAAATTTCAGGCCTAAAAGAGTGGATATTTAGAAACGTGAGTTGAGATTAATCATGGACATGAAAGAGATGAAAGTCTACTTCATATAGCTGTCTTATGTAAATCTGCATAAAGCACACATATATCAGCATAAAAATTTACCAGATGTTTATTTACATAAAAACCTCAAACTCAAAACATGTGGCAGAGCCTTTTAAGCAGCGAGGCATTCAAGATATGAAACAATGAAAGCTTCACTAAATGTGAAATGAGCTTTTGTTTTTTACAAAAGTTCCAATTGTAAGCAGCTGGAACTTGTTTTTGACATATAAAAAAATCTTTACCCGACAATGTGTACTCAGAAGCCTTAATATAGTCTATTAGCTCCCAACACTGTTCATCTTTTACTCGAGGAAGCCCATCAAAGTTGGTTTTCCTGTACTCCAGTACAAAGTGATCAATTCTATTGTCTTCTTCAGGCATTCTCCATGATACTGTTACACAGTTATCAGCAACCAGACATGCAGCAAGATCTATCTCTGGAGCTTTAGGGACTGCAGAAAAGAAAATAGACTGAATATTAATTGGCTCTCCCTGGATTAGAGGTAGAAGTTGTCTTCAGCTCAGTCACACAATCCTTTTAGGGGATATATTCCATTAGCAAAATCTGATAAAAGACTGAGCATGTCACTTTCACTTAACACACAGGAGAAGGAAAAAAGCGTTAGCACTAGAGTTAACCTTCATAACACGTTTTTCTATGTTTGTACTTCCTTAGCAAGTTGGATTGGTTTAATGCTGCAGTGTCCACACTCTAATTACAAGCCTTTTGTGAGTATCATATCAAATTTCAAAATCACTCAATCATAACTTAACATCAATATCCTTTCTGAAACAAAAAGAAGTAGGATAAGCACAAATATTTCTCAACATATTGTATACGCAAAATGTAAGCACCTATTCCCATTATTGCTGTCAGAGTGCAAAGCACTACACGAAGTCTTTTATAACTGCTTAGAATGAGTAAGTCTTCATCATGACTCTGGCAAAGAGTGTCCAAATACCACAACACAGAACATCCTCTCTGCACAAGATCATTAGCATCTCCTGAGGTATGAAAGTCTATTAATGATCAACGCAGTTCTACCTATGTGGTAAATATCAGGATTCAAGCACTTACAGAATGATAGAATCATTATAGAACTCAATCTTGAAGGTCTTTTCCAACCATAAGCCAGTCGACACCCTGCCTGCTAACCCACATCCCTAGGTGTCTCATCTACACATTTCTTGAACTCTGCCAGAGATGGTAACCTCGCCATTTCTCTGGATAGTCTGTTCTAGTGCTTAGCTTGAAGCTGAACCAAACCTGGCTTAACTTGAGGCCATTTCCTCTCATCCTATCCATAGCCATTCTGGAGGAGAGATCGACCCCCACCTCACTACAACCTCTTTTCAGGTAGTTTTAGACAGTAATAAGGTCTCCCCTGAGTCTCCTTCTCTGCAGGCTAAATAACCCCAGCTCCCTCAGCTGCTCCTCATAAGGTCTGTGCTCCAGGCCCCTCACCAGCTTTGTAGCCCTTCTTTGGGCACACTCCAGCACTTCAGTGTCTTTCTCAACAAAGGCCATGTCAGACTACATCCCAAGCCTTTCCCTCAACCACCAGGTGGGTCACCTGGTCACAGAAGGAGATCAGTTTGCTGGGGCAGGATCTGCCTTCCATGAACCTTTCTTGACTGCACCTGATCTGCTGGCTGTCACGCAGATGCTACGTGGTGGCTCTCAAGACGATCTGCTCCACAACTTTCCCTGATATCGAAGTCAGGCTGACAGGCCTGTGGGCAGAGCCTTCATCTGACCCTTCTTGTAGATGGGCATCACACTGGCCAGTCACCCATCATCTGGAAACTCCTCTGTCAACCAGGACCACTGATAGATGATGGAGAACGGCTTGGTGAGCACTTCCACCAGCTTCCTCAGAACCCTTGGGTGGATCCCATCTGATCCCACAGACTTGTGGGTGTCCAAGGGGAGTCTCAGGTCACTGACTGTTTCCTCACAGATTATAGGGGGGATTATTCAGCTCTCCATAGATATCTTGCAGCTCAGGGGATAACTGGATAACTGATTTGGGTGTTAAGGATTTTAGGAAAAACTTGATAGTTTGGAGCTATATTTAAAGGAATCGAGTTTTATAAACAAAATCAACTGCCTGATATCACTCAAAAGTCCAAATAATAATTAGAAATAACTTTCTAATTATTTAATAGACTTCCTACATTTTTAATAAAGGAAAGGAATGTATAACAAGGGACATACTAAAGAATATCCTTGTTTAGATAAAAGATCTTGTTCATGCTTGTTGTCACATCTTAACACTTACTCATATTCATGTAAAACAGATGCACTGATCAGCTTATTTTGCTTGTTCCTTTATCTGCTAAATACAGAACTGTGATTGTCATCCAGGAATAGAATGGGAATTTTTTTCTGGACACACTGTTAGCTGCTGACTAAGAATAACACTGGTAATTAAGCAGCCCAGTTACCACATACTGCATTACAGAAGGTAAGTGAGCAGAAGTGTAAACTGACACTGCCGAGTCCTTAACGGATTTGGAATGATTTACATCCCTGCCAACACTACTCTTGCCAAGATATTCTTGGTCAAGGGCAAACTGGTTTAAATCTGAATGAAGAGACATATATACTAGAATACTATGTTTATTTCCATTAAACTGGTAATAAATTGTCTTGTGTTTTAAACCTTTTTAACTATCATTTTGAAGAGCAACCTACTAGCTGACAGCTTCTGCATAAAATTATTTCAGCTTACAGAAAATGGAATCCAAGGTGTCATTAAAAGTTTGAAGCTCGTAGTTACCATGCTAAGAAACCTAAAGTATCTCACGGTTTTGAGGTGTGAGTATTTAGAGAGAGAGAGAGAAAAAAAAAAAAAAAACACCAACCTCTTCCAGGACTCAGAAACTGCACAAAACACCTACAGAACATTGTATGGAAGAGTTATTATTTATCAAAACTCATCAATTAAACATAAAATCGATGGTTTTTGACATGCTATTATAATGTGAAAATTAACACAATATAACCAGAAAAGTAGTTTAACTTAACCTCCAACTTAACCTCCTTAACCTTAACTCAACCTAACCTCCAGAACATAAACTAAGCAATTTTCTCACGAGGAGGTAGAAGTGGTTACTACTTGAATAATTTACTGTATCATTATTAAATATTTTGCATACAACTTTACCTGGCAAAAACTTTACAGCTTGCAGCATCCGCCTTTCCAGGGAGAAGTCCACCATTAGATGAGTCATGCTATCACTGACCTTTGGTTTCAGAGAAATACGGAATGCTGAAGCCATTGTAACCCTAAAGCCATGAAAACAGCATTAGCAAAACACAGTTTGGATTAAGTGCCACAGTCACTTTCAAAGTCAGGAATTAGATGACTGTATCATTAACTTCAAACTGCTAACCAGAACACTGCTTCTCCAATCAAAGACTAGCACATTTTTAAAATTCTTAATGTTTAGCAAAGATTCCAAATCACGGAGTTTGTTAGTGCAACTGCTTTGAGAATATGATGCAAGTTCCCAGTGGTTCTGTCTTACTAGCACAAAGACATTTGGAGGGAATGCAGAAAAACTTTAAGCCTTGTCTTTTCAATAGCCCAGATTTTTTCTCTCCCCCAACTAGTGAAACAAAACAAAGAACCATCATTATGCACAAAATCACAAAGCACGAAAAGCTACAGTACTGAAGAACCAGCATCATGTACTATATACCCTGAAATTTTAAAGCAAAATCTTTAGATTCAAAATATACAAAGACCATCCCAGTAAACAAGATCCAAGGTGGGGAAGAGACTAAGTTTTAAGTGTTACTCAGAGGGCATTAAAATACTGGTTAAAAGGGTGAATATTTTAATTTCATATTTTGCCTTATTTGACAATGACAAAATTGTTCTGGAATTAATCTTAGAAGAGACACTGAAGCACTGTAGAGTTAACTACTCCCATTTTGACTTTTGAAATGTAAGCTTGGTGTGTGTGTGTGTGTGTGTAAGATTGCTTCTATAACAGCACCCCTATTGTGCATGGACTGATCAAAACAAAAAGGAGCAAGTCTCTTATGTAATTTATCTCTTAAGACTCCAAGCCATGCAGCACCATGTCAATAAAATTAAGATAGCACACAGGTCCCCTCTCTCTGTTTTAAAAGGATAGCTGGAAAGCAACATACACACAATAAAAAGTCACTTCTAAAGAAAAGTATCCACTTCACACCTACACATTTATGATATATTTGGAACATCTAATGCTTATCATTTTGTGTAAGTTACGAAAAACCTTAGTTTCACTTACTAGCTTCACTAGTATGTAAGGGTGATTGTGTGTTAGCTACAGTTAGATTAAGAATGGCGGAAAAGATCGAAATTTCAGGCAGGCACAAGATGAATGAAATAATATGAGGGCTGGACAGTAAAATAGGAGCATGCTAAGGATGATAAGCATATTGTGAAATACGATACAATTATGAGAGTGAAAAGACGACAGAATTAACAGGATGAATGGTTTCCCCAAGATAAAGCTGACTTTCTGAAATCCCGTACAGGCCATCTATCAGAGTGTACTGTTCATCTGGACTGTTACAGCCAAAATTTAATCAAAAAATTATTCTTCCTTGGTGAACAGTAACAGAATATTAAGAAGTTAACTACAGATAGTTTCTAACTTCTGTTTAGGTTCAGTGATTCTACACAGCACCAGCCACAGCTAATTCAACAGCATTAAACTATAGAACATTGCAACAAACTGAAAGGAATAAAGCTACATTTGTTCCTTGTCAAAGAGTCACTGTCACTACTGGTATGATTTACTGTGGACTAGTTCTCTATCCACAGAAAAGCAAAATTATTTTTTCTAATAGTTACTAATATTACAATAAAGTTCAGAAAAAAAACTAGACAGATTAACTGTAAATTGATTGCAAATTAAAGCAAATTTATTTGGTCAGTGAGTAGCAAATGCTGAAAACCCCTTGTGGGCTGTCTCAAACAATTACACAGAGCATGTGGGTTTTATGAATTGAAAGGCCAGAGTCTCAGAGCATTATTAGCATTTTTCTGAGTCAGGAAAGACGGCCTTAAAATTTATTGTGAAGTAATACAAGTTTATCTTTCTGAACAGTACTTTGAAGGAACAACGAAAAACAACTAGAGATAGTGAATTCAACGACATCATCCCTAGTGATGTCACAAGAAACACTTCAACAGCTACAAGACCTCACATTCAAAAGGAACAAGCTCATCTAAGTATTAAGAAAAGATCAAGGTTTTATCATAATTTAAAGGGACACGGTCAACTCGAAACATTATTCCATTTCAGTTGTCAGGTTTGCTAAAAAAAACTTTATATTTTGCTCTTACAGAGCTATAATTCCATGGATTAAAAGCATCTTCTCTTTAGTAAGGTATTAAAGGTCCCAAGTCAAAAAAGAACAATACTAAAAGTGAAAAGGATCCAAATTTTCCCTCTTCTTTCCTAAGTTTTGATGTCAGAAAACATTTAGGAAGGAGTAAAGAGTTAGAATGAATTTAAGTTGACTGTGTCACTTTAAAAATAAATGCAGTTTCAAGAACAAGATTAATCCAGAGAGACAAAAAGGGTAGACTTTGTACTGTACCTATCTTTGATCTGTCTGGAAGCCTTGGTGCACATCAGGAGAAGAGAGAGAAGGTAGTTAGTGTTTCCATGCAAGACTCAGAGACAATAACATGCAAGAAGACAATATTCTCAAAACTGTGGTGCTCAGATTTGAAGATTACAACATATTTAACATTTGTATCAAAACAAATTTTCCGCATAAAGCATGTTAATGGTATTGGTTAGAACTGAAAAAGTGGATCACCTTATAACAAATCTCAAGCCACACCAAACCAATTCCAAATTACTCCACTTCCTAAGCATTACTTATAACCTGCTTTCATGTTTCCTCTGAAAGTTACAATGCTACTCAGATAATGCTTCCTAAAAGGGTCTCTCCATATGCCTAGATAGAAATAAATAAATAAATCACAGAATATTACCACAGCATTTAAATGATACCACTGAAACAGATGCAGAAATAGCAGTGGTAATTCCAGAGGTAAGCTTTTACTGGCATTTAGAAATACAATCCCCCTCCTTTACCAAGAGGAGCTGCAAATGCAGAGTGAAATGTTATTGTAGAAAGCTAAGTGATGGCTTAGACCAACCTACTGAATCCCTGTTTGGGGTTAACATTGCTGTTTGATCTAACATGCAACTGAGTTGAACTACTTTGCCTTCAAAGAAAGGACAAGTCAAAATATTTTAAAACATAAAAGGTATTTATGATATATTTTTAAATTACTCCAAAATATTTTATTTGCTATAAAGCACACTAGGGGAAAATCACGATTGCCTGTGCTCTAAAACAGATTATATATTCTCAAGGCAGAAAGTGCAAACAAGCATAAAAAAGACTTAGCTTAAGAGATAGCTGTGTCTTAATATAAAACAAACCTACTATAGAAACTACTAACAGATTGTCCTATATGGCAGCTGTAAACTGTAGCTGTCACTTCAGAAAGTGTAAAACCTTCTTAGGAACCTTCATAATTTCTACATCTTGCAGAGTATTTTGTGCCCAGAACTGCAAGACAGACCTGATTTAACTTCTCTGAACTTTCTGTTTTCAAGGCCACTTTATGCCAGTGTTTCCAAGGCCTATTTTAGTTAGACAGCTGTGTAACTGTCAAACTACATCCTACCTAGCCACTAAATTCTCTCTTATGTGGAATTCATGTTCTTTTAACTTCAAGATGAGCTAATGATGCCATCAAAAGTCTAAGAAAAGCAACAAAGAAAAAAAAAATGTTTAGTCTTATGCTAATTTCTCTTGAACTGGACTACTGCAGAAGCTAATTAAAGCTGGGGATGGAGTTTCCCTAGCAGCAGCCGTTCGTATTTTTATTAGTTTAGTGGTAGCTTCAGCTAGTCAATAGCCAAGGCTGTATTTTCTTAAAATGCATAATACAACCAAAGCACATTTCCACATTCGAGTTAGTGTAATGCAAGTTTCAAGTCCTAAAGTTAACTGAATTGATTTTTATTATCTTAAAGTCTCAAATTCTACATGTTAAAGAAATATTAGAAGAACTCAAGAATAACTTTCCTTAGAATATTTGATTGAAAAAAAGAATTGGAGGACCTAAAAAGAAAACTTACAATGAGTTCAGAACAATAGGTACAGTGCTTAAGAGCTAATTCAGTCATTATACATCACTATGACAAGCCAAAAAGACAACTTAAACCGAAATGCTAAGAAAAACACCTAGTTTAGAAATTGTCATTCTTCAGGGTAAATGAATCAAAGTTGAGATTCAAGAAGCGAGACAGCACACAAACTTGTATCCAAAAAGCATAATTCGCACATTAAGAGAGCTTTCTTGGCACTGTTCTAAAATGATTTGTGCCCTTGCTCCAGGTAAAACACAGAAAGGCAAAAGTAATTAGGCGTTGGATTGGTGTGGCTGAACCTGCTACTGATGAAAGTTTTATTAAAACAAGCTACACTAAACAAGACCTAACTCTATGGGAGGAAAGTGTCCCCTGACTTATTTTACTAGTTTGTAAGTATTCCCTTCCAATTGGACACATTTTCACTACGATTTACAGATCTGTTGTTGCATCATATATGCTATTTGTATTAGAATGACAATATGAGGCCCTGAATAGGGTCTTGTTTTCATATTGCAAAGATACATAATTAGCTTTTGGGAATACAGGAAAATTGCCATGAGTTTGGTTTCCTAAGATTTTTGAGAACAGCTATAAAGTTCAAGGTTACAAACTAAAGATCCACACCTGCATAAAGTTCTGTAAAACAAACACATCTTGTCATTTATGCATGGCTACAAACAAAATATTGAGACATTTGGCAAGTACCACATAACAGTTTAGGACAACTTGCCAAAGATCTGAGGGCTAGCTATCATTCACATTCTAAGTTTTGGTTCTGTACTATGCACATTTATTTCATCTTCACTTCCTGGGTTACCCAGCATCAACACAGATCTACTGAACACTGATTGTTAGCTATCCCGGAAAGGAACTCCTTTTCCTCCTCCCTACAAATATATGTAATATACTATATATAACCTACAATAAAGGACAAATTAAGTATGGCCTCACAGCTCAGCACAAAGTCTCAAATTGTTCTGGTACTTGTGTTTAAGTGACACTGAAGATTGAAAGCAGCTAACATAGCAGTCTACTTAAATTGTAGCTGACCATAAGCTCTGCAGCTTGTAACCTCTTCCACTGCAGATGCTACACAGCACTTATTTCAGATTTAATTCCACAATAGGCAAAACTGGAAATGGTCCACTACAGAGATTCTCAAACTGATCTCACTTCTGATGGAATTACTAAGCAAGGCAGTACTCGTGGATGCAATCCACAATGCAGTGGATTACTACTTCAATCTCCTAGGGGTAATTAAACTACAAAAAAAAAAAAAAAAAAAAAAAAGAGCGAGACTGAGCTTTTTAACTCCGGCGCTTTGCGGACACATTTAAACTTGACTATGCTTTAAAGTTCCCTGAATAATGAAGCTACTAAGACCAATTTGACAAAAGCTAATTTAAAACTGGTGAGACTGTAACTCTTAGACCCAGCGGACACTTAACTATGCTTTTATATGCATCACCACCCTTACTCTTGAAAAATGTCTCCTGCCAGGCTCTGAAATGCAAAGGCTATTTAACATTGAGACAAGCATCAGCACCTGCCTTATGCACATCAGTTTAATATTTTCTACCTTTGAGAATTCCACAGGGTCCTTTATGTCCAGAGACTGTGCAGCAAGTTCTAGCAGTTCTTCAGAACTCTCCAGCGCACTACTACACTGACTAAGTTGATTCTGAAGCAAAAAAAAAAAAAAAAAAAAAAAATCACTATTCGAGGCAAATACGTGATTTTTATACACTAGCAAAGCAGGACTACTTAGCTAAACAAAGCTACTACAACTGATACATACTATGTTAACTAGAACGTTCTTGTGCCTCATTAGTACACATATATCCACAGCACATCCTATAAAATTCAGGAGTGGAGTAAATGGAATTTAGTAAATGGAATTCATGTAACTCAGATTTATAAAGCCAGATTTCATTTATAAATCTAATTATTCTAAAAATCATGATTTCAGAAGATGGCTGCTTAAGTCTGAGTGTATCCACATTTACTTGTATTCACAGAAATGCATTACATTAAACATGATCAGTTAACTCATGTAACAATAATCTTGACAGAGGGAAGCAGTAGAACTGTCATAAAAGAAAATCCTAAAAGTATGTCTACTTTGCCAGTATATGTCTGGCATATGTCTACTATGCCAGTATAATGGACTGGGGGCAGTAGGGAGGAAGAACAAAGGAAAAACAGTAGAAGACAAATTTCTTTAACCAAGACCACCAAAAACTATCATTAAGCTAACATTTCAGGTAAATAAATCAGTCCAGTGTTTCAACATCATTTCTAGTATTGTATACTATGGATACATCTCCAAAACATACAGAGTAGGGTCCTAAGCATACTGCACATCTGACAAGTTGTTAATTCAAACTGTAGTCCTGCCAGCAGCTTTTGTATTGTCATTTGATCTACAGCTATTTTTCTAACCAAATTGATACTTGTATACCTTAGTCTTAGAACAAATGACCATCGTATAATCATTTTTCTTTGAAAAAAGCTTTTAGGAGAAAAAAAAAAAAAAAGACTTGAACTAGTCAGTGTCTCAGGATCAAATTCTATTAACTTCAAGAACAAACTACCCTCAAGCACTTCAGAACTATAACTAGTTTTGGCAAGACATTAGATGTACCTCATTCGTAATGCTTGAGGACAAAACAGCAGCAAGGAAACAGTTCAAGAGCTGTAAGTTTAAACACAGTTTGTAGAAGACTTTTGGGGCACGTGATTAATGCAAGTTGTCATTCACCTAAGACAGCTGCTGTCCTCTTTGGAGGATATTCAAGGCTGACCAAGTCATACAGCAAGCATCATATGGCAAAATGTTCCAAGGGAACACCTCAAAGCAACAAATGCAAAAGGTGCATTTTATTTTTCAGAAATTATGTAGTACCTAGATGTTTACATTAGCATCTCACTAACATATAGTATTTTGGAATGAACATAAGCATTTTAGTGTTGTTAAGTTAGGCAGTGCTAAATAAGACAAATACTTTCAAAGTTCCTTCTATACGAACTGAGTATTTGGAAACAATCATAACATAAAAGAATTATGTAGCCCCTATTTTTCAAGCTATCCTTCTGCAGCTTAAGAAGAATCTAGCTTCAGCACAAGCATTTTAAAGGAACATTAAACTAAGAAGGCCCCCTCCTTTCAAACAGCAATTTTCAATCCCGATCTAAGATGAGGATTTGGATAAAACCAAATCACATATAAGGCAATTGTCATCTGTTGGTCTGGTCTGTTAAGAGCCACTGTCAGGAAAAGCACTCCCTGCATAGATCCTTCTGTGCCTCAGTTACAGAAGAAATTTGCCTTGTCACCAAAAGAACATCCCTTGGGGATGCAGTTGGATACCAGCCTCTGCTGAAAGACAAGTAGGGCTCTTAATGACTGTGTCAGTCATCTGTAACATTCCACTTGCCTTCATCCTCTTCTGATTTTAAGAAATAGCTCAGCTGTTTGGCTGAGCTATCACGTGGGTACCAGGCAGCAATTCTTGATCCCGCAGCACTACACACACAAGCTTTCACAACCTGTTTCAATCCCAGTTGAGTTGTTAAGTGAAACAGATCAATTCAACTAACAAATACAGTCAAGCCAAACAGCCATATGAGTAAGTGTCAAAATGGTTTCCAGTACCAGAACACATACTGGCAAGATGAATACTAGCTCTTCTTGACTACAAGTTAAAATAATTAATGCAAATCAAAGCTGAACTTCCCTCGAGAGCTGTTCGATAAGAGCTATTTATTTCTCAAGACTTTCAGTTCCAGGTGTCTCCATGGACCTGGATAGGCCCCTACTTTAAGCTCCAACCAGTCCAGGCATACTTTTGAAAGGAATTTCCAACAGAGAAACATACCCTGCCTTTGTGGGACAGCAAGATCCAAGGAGCTGAAAATACTCTTGTTCTCAAGCACTCCGACACGAATATCACAGAATCATAGAATGCTGACGGTTGGAAGGGACCTCTAGAGGTCATCTAGTCCAACCCCCAATATGTAAGAAAGCAAATAAGCTTGCAGAATAATTGTAATTTAACCCACTTGAGTGAAACAAAAGGAATCAAAGTTTTAACGAATTGTACAGAAATTCACTCATCATTACCTTAAAAGGAAGTTCTGAATTCTATCAGCACTCAGAGAGTGTCTATTTCCTTGCCTCTAGATCGTCATCTAACAGCTAAGCCTTCTTTTTAGGCTTCTAAGGACTCTTGCTCAACTTTTAAAGTAAATCCTTAAGCTTGTCCTCTTTAACAATTTATTTACTACTCTGCAAAAGGTCTCTCTAACTGCAGCTGACAATGCTTCTTTTCCACTGAAGAGTATTCCTCAAACTGCAGGTACCTTGAAAATCTATTCTCCCCCCTGCATGTACACGCACATTCAGATTGCAGGCATTTAACAGAAGGCCCCAACAGCTCTAATCTGTTAGGGTTTGCACCCCAGTTTCAAGGAAGCATTTGCAAAACACTGAAATTAGTGAATCAATACACACTGGTGCATTCATCTATAAAAACTGCAAAACTCTATATAAACTCAAAATTGTCAACTTCTAAGTATAAAAGATTAGTGTAATTAAAGACCAGCAAGACTTGCTGCACAACCAGATATACTAGCAGAAACAATACATCAGTACCTGATATAAGGAATAAGCAATCAGCATTTTAAAATAACTCTAGTTGGAGACAAAACAAAACAATAGGTGACCGAGGAAAGGTTAGCAGAATTAATTTGTATTTCAGATTAACAGCCACAAGATTTGTCTAAACTAGCCCAGGTAGAATAAAGTCAAGGATTACAAACTAGTAATGAAACAAACATTGTCACTTAGAGAAAGAGAGAGAGAGAGAGAGAGAGAGAGAGAGAGAGAAATAAAAAAAAAAACAACAGTGTTTGCTCCAAGATGGAGGAGCGGAATTTATTCGGCTCAGTACACTACAGAGCAGACAATACTCAAGTTGCTAATTAGATCCTTTTGGAATTTCTCAAAGTGTGTACAGATATGACACAGAGAAAGAAGGAATGAAAGAATGAAAAGTAGAAAAGAAGAAATTGAACATAAGCTAGAAGAAAAAAAAAAGGTAGTCAAATAGCTATACAAACTGTCAGTTAAACAAGAAACAGTAGAGATACCTCAGTACAGATATATTAAATTCTAACTAATAAAGATCTTCAACAGTGACATGCTGCACAATAGAGTTTTTTGTGTTTTTTTTTTTGAATTTCATATGTGCAATATGAATTCTGTGTCAAACTTAACATGACCATTGTCACGACCATAACATTCTCTTCTTACAAGATGGGATGGAATATAACAAAGATTCCTCCTTAGAACTTTGAGAACTTAGCTTTGCTATAACAACTTTTTTGCATTATTCATCCAAAAATTAATAAATATTCAGATATTATATAAATGGCATCTGAAGGAGACCATTTGTAAACAGAATTTGGAAACACTGCCTAGTACTGCTACAAGAGAGCTGGAAAACATGAAATAAAGCACTTAACTACCTTAGTTGAAGGTTGTACACATTTCTTCACAGGAACTCTAGCAAAAGCTTGCATGCAAAACTCAGAATGGTCTATTATTTCAGGATAAAGCTACAGAACAAACTTTAAATCTGCTTTAATATTCAGCCAGAAGTTTTGAAAAGTTTTACATCAATAACCTTTAAGCATGGTAATAAAAAAGACCTTCAAAGGGAACCTTATCTTACAAAGCAGTTCCTAAAACTTCTTTAACCAAATAATAGGAAAGGTAAGGGAACATGATGCTTTCAAGAAAACCTTTACTGCTTTGTGTATGTGAAAAGAACAACACAAAACTTGATTTCTAATACTACGCTCTAAGAGGAATACAAGTAGGACTATAAAAAAAAATAGGCTAGAAAGATGGCCTGTTTAAAAGCTGTAAATTTTCCTATGGCTCCATGCAACAACACTAGTTTTTCTGAAAGCTGAAGTTAACTTGTAACAAACTACTGCAAAAACCACAGACCTTGCACGTGTTTCAAACGGCTATATTTTTGCTTCAATTTCTCTGAAACTTACTGCAAAACAAAAATCTCCTACTTTAACCAATGGAACTGTATAAATATGAAGTTCATATAAGTTTAGTATCAGACACCAGTGTAACATTTTTCCCAAGAATGCAGCATCTTCCAAAGTGTGTATATAAGTCTCCAAATGTTAAGTGGAAGATGACCAGTTCTGTCAATAGGATGTTGGCCTTTGTGTTCAACATACCCAGTGTTGAACCCAATGCAAGTCCCGGCCTTAGCAAATTACTTCAATATGTAAGTTCATCTGCTGTTCTGCCTTGAACTGGAAAAAAAAATTCCAGTCCAGATGCTATTTTTAGTAAGATGGTAGTAAATCCAAAGTTTGCTCCTATGCAGACATTCTCCAGCTGTAAATAATAGGTAGAACTACTTGCTTTCTGCATATTGTCAAAAACTATGAATTACCCTAACAGAAGGGACCACGTAAGTACTTAGAATACACATTTCCAGTTATATTTCTTGCAAACACAACCAAAATAATCATTTTCAGTTAAGACTTAAATAAGCAGCTTAAAAATGTTTTTACTTAGCTGCAAAAGTTTACTTTAGCTATGCAATTACCTGTAGAGCTTGAATTTTACGGGCCTCTTCCTGTTGAATAGTGTTGGTCATAGTACCTTTCATTTCATCCAATATGGAATACAGACCATCAAATTCTTCATCCAACTCGGAGATAACATTAGAAGAGTTTTCCTAAGAGGATTGAAATTGTTGCAGTCAGTATTAAAATATGACACAGTAGGTCTTTTTGACCAAAAAATATGCTGTCTGCCCAAACACACCTTACCATGACTATGTACTTTACCTTACCTTCTTATTACTTCTCAGTTTACCAGAGAAAAGAAAATACTGCCACCTCCTAACTTGACTTGACAAGAGGACACTTCAACTGAAATCTGTGCAAGCCTGACAATGATACAAAACTTGCACATAACCAATTATTTGGCAGCTTTAATACCACAAGGCCTTCATTTCCCTTTCATTACTAGATACTTGTAAAGAGGTAATCCACTATAGTAAAAATGGCTTAATTCAACACTACATTTGTATAATCTACATTCAAGAAACCATCTGGAATGTATGAGGAATGAGGTTCATTCCTAAAGTTGGTTTAGTGTTAACAAAAGATAGCAAACCTTGCAGTCTTTGCTCATCAATAGGGAACCTTGCTCGTTGACAAGGAAAACACACCTAGACCTTGTTCTGGAGCAGAAGTTACAAAAATTAGATAAAACTGACATACACACACCAATCTGCACATGATAAAAAGGAAAAGATTATAGAATTCTTATTCTTTTCTCATCAAAACAGTCCTCTTTTTCCACATACCAAATAGAGTGGTATTTTTAAAAAACAGACTACCTCCAACTGAGAGGAGTTTGAAGCCTTGCCTACTACAGAAATCAAGTCTCGTGACAGCTTTTCACACACGAAAAAAAACAAAAACAATAAGCCACATTCCTTCCCATTGTAGACAGGCTTCAAAAACAAGATTTTTTTCTATCTGATTCCAACATGATGATTTTAAACTCAATTCATACAGCTCACCTCTTGTAAACTTCAAATAATTTCCCATTTTTCAGTCTCAATGTTATCTCCCCTCCCAGATGTAAACTTCAACCTTAAACATGTATGTACCTGAACATTTTTTATTGTATGGTTCAGCATGTCTATAAAGTTGTGAATTTCATCATTTTTGTTTGCTAGAGTAGAGACAATCCTTTGCAGCGTCTCCTAGAATTACAAAAATAAGACGTTACTAAAGAAACATGACTTTAACCATCACCATTTCAGCATATGTGGAAGGTATCACAGATTGTTTCCTACAGCACTAACAGAATTCCATCATACACATTCAAATTATATTCTGTTCTTGAAAGAAGAAAAAAAAATAATATTAAAGGCCCAAAAGGCATTCTGACAAGCTAAAATTTTTTTGTTAGTTTAAAAGAAATCATTTAATACTGAGTAGCATTTGTTTATTAAAAGCAAGGAAGCACCTTTATCCTTTCACACAAACATCTAAAACAACTCTTTAACCCTATCTCCCTCAAGGAACTTAACCACTAATCTTAAGCCGTGCCTCTACCTGTTTTCTTTGGCCCCTTCATCAGCAGTTTTTAAATAAACCTCTTAGGATGTATTTATCAGTTCTCTGACCTCTTGTCTGCTTCCAAACTGAAAACACTGTAGCTCACATATGAGACAACTAACAGGAAGTGAAGTTCCACTGCTTTTTACAAACACGCACTTTGAAATAATACCATTACGGAAAGATACAATACAATTACTTGTGACAACTGAAATTAGGACTCATTAGAAAAGCAAACAAGTCAAGGTGGTATCTTTCTGAAACAGTGAGGCTTATTTGCAAGGCTTAATTACAGAATCCTTTCAGTGCTTGGTTAAAATTTTACGTTTAAAACAACTTTTGTCCACACTATGCTAGCGATGAAATGCTATGATATAACCAGCTGCTTCTGCATTCACTACAGACCAGAAGCAATTGTTTTTGCATGTCAGAAAGCCTGCAGTTAAGCTTTAGATCCTATAAACATAACTGTCAATTTGGATGAACAAGAAAACTCTCAATCCTCTTTCAACTAGGATTTTAGGGCTTACTCAGTTCTACCATGTGGAAAAAATAAGTCTTGTTATACACAGCTAGAGAACCCAAAAGCATTATTCAGTAGTAAATAAGACTAAAAGAAAAGGTCTACATTTGAAGATTGTTTAGAATGCCTTTAACTAAGCAGTCTAAAATATGGCAGAGACTAGAAATAACTGTCAAACAAGCTGTTTCCTAAAACAGCTGAAGTTAAATTCAACAATCAGTCAAGGATCAGTAAGGGTCTAAGCAAGCTACCAATATCTCCAAAGAGGAATTCCATCTTCAAGTTTGATCCATCTTAACAATAAACATTCCTAATCTATGAACAGGTGAAAAAAGGCCTCAAAATCCAGCAGCACTAACAGCACAGTGTATATGAACCACCAAAGCACATGACACTAAAATAGAAAGGCAGCTTTTAAGAGCAACTAACATAATACACAGATTTTCTTCCAAACATTACCAAGATATATGATAAATTCAGGCCACTGCATTATTCTCCATTTCTTATAAATGGAATTTCTGCAAATTCACTACAGTTATGTACAATGACAGGCACACTAAGGAAAATTATATTTACAGAGCAATTGAGCCTTATACATAAATTACATAATATGACAGCAACTACAGTATCAAGTTCAATAAAAATTCTTGGTATTTATCCCCCTAAGGATACATAAATTCACTCTACATTCATGAATGCATTACTTTGTTATAAATAACTCTTGGAACACCTTGGAGGTTAACAGATATGTTAGCTAGAGGGTGTTGAAGTGAGGTCCTAAAAATCAGTTTCAAAATCATTTTCCAAATATCATCGTTAGTTTATTATACAGCAGTTGAAGTTTAAGCCATTTCCTTCTAATACTTGGCATAGTAGTCCTCTTCAGTTTTCAGTACCTACTCTTATTCTCAGAATCTAGAACTTTTTTGAAGTAAAAGATACACAGCATTTGTAAGGCAACAGTGCTGATTTGCAAGGGTTGACAAAGGTGAAAGGACAAAGCCCTGCAGCATGTGGTGGCACAGCAGTCTTCACAAGAGCATAAAAGAAAACAGCCCCTCCCTGAATAACGAACAATTGACATTATATTACCCTACAGCATCTGTCGAAGCAGCTGGGCACCTCGAATGTTAAAGAGTAAACTTTAGTAAATTAAACAATTACATCATTCTTACTTGTTAAGAAGCAACTTAAACTCTTCAATCTTATGGCTGCATGCAGATCTGAATTTCTAAAGCACATGAGTGCTTATGCTACATTAATTTTCCATAAAGGGACCAAATTTCCAAATGAAGTGTCATACTTAGTCTCCATTAACTTAGTCTTCCATATTTCTTTCACATGCTGGAAATGACAGAGTTTGCAAAATTGCTTAAGAGACTATACAAGTCACCCTGCTCTATGAGCATCCCTAGCTTCCCTGCTCATACTTTTGGCCAAAAATGTCCCCGAGACCTTCCCAGTTTTAGCCAAACAAGTGATGAGAGAACCAATTTCAATCATAGAGCTACAGCATTTTAGCAAAGTCATGGACAGCTGCAAATCAGCAGCAGAATAATTGCTAGTTATATGATTAATAATGATTATTCTACTGCCTTCAGAGCCTCCAAGTAGCACCGAAATTCAGTTATGCACAATCACGTCACTGAGGAATATCCGTGCAGAGCACCCACGTGACAGTTGCAGCCATCCTGGGCATGCCAAACAACTACATGCTGCTTCAAGTTCACGCAGCATCTACTAGAGAAGCACTCTCAGGAAAGTTCACACCTCACCTTCTAAACATAGATGATGATGAACGGCCAGTAACACATGCTAAACTAAGCAACTAACTTCTCAGATCAATACACTTCAAGCCATTAGCAATGCCAGTCATGCAGACTGCTTGCAAAACTCTTTCTAAGTACATAAAAGCATAGTCTTCAAGAAGTCAGCAAGCAAAGTAGGTTTGGACTGCTAGCTAAAAAGCTACAATGAGCCAAAAAATTTTGCAAGGGCTTTTTTTTAAAAAATAATAATAATAATAAATAAAGAGAAAGGGAAAAAAGCACAATCTCCAAGCACAATCCCCACAATCCCTTTACCAAATACAGTCCTGCTACTCAGTGAATTCCTGGAGGGAGACAGCAGCAGGTGAGGGAAGGAGGAATTTACAGCACAGCAGTCACATGAAAAAAAAAGAAAAATGCAAAAGAAAAGATACTTCCATTAATTAGTTCCCTTCAGTACAGCTCTACATGAATGGGAAACCAACGGGCCTGTCTGCACTCTGTAATTGCTTATGACAGGAACATACACTAGGAAAGGGCTTTATGCCAAGGCTGTACTTTATTAAAATAGCAACTGTAAGCATAAAGCGAGCATCCCAAAAACGCAGGCACCGAGAGGCCAAAACTCAGTATTCAGCCACGTGGCTCTCCAACCTCTCCGTACCCCTGCTACAAAGTAATGCTCGACAGAACGAACAGAGAAAAGGAAAAGCGCCTCTCCATCACGGCCGCCCTCCCAGTACAATAGGACGTGACCGTCGCTTCCTTAATCGTAGTCCCTTTGCCCACGGAGGCAGCACGCTTCTCACCGGCCCTTGCGGGGGAGCTTCTCCGGGGGCCACTGCGGGCAGTGACTGCTCGACTTGCCCGGCAGAGGGAGGCAGCCGCCGCGGGGA